CCTTCATTTATCCGGTGTTTGTGGGACGCTCGCTGTGTGCTCGGTGCCATGTTAGGTTCCGGGCTTACGTTACTGTAGTTTGAACGAGACAAGATATTGGCCTGCGCAGGGGGGCTGTGGAGCAGAGGGTCCGCTCAGCGTACACATTGGGGGAGCTGTGGGAGCGGAGGGCAGGTGGCCGTCCTCGTCCGGGCTGCGGCAGGATGCGCTGTGGCCCATCCAGAAGGCTGCTGCGCTCTCACTTTGGCTTTATCTCAGCTGCCACAAAGATGCAGCTTCTTCCTTACTGTTCGTTAAGACTTTTATTTATTTATTTTTAATTTTTTAAAAGATTTTATTTATTTGACAGAGACACAGCGAGAGAGGGAACACAAGCAGGGGGAGTGGGAGACGGAGAAGCAGGCAGCTTGATGCAGGTCTGGATCCCAGGACCCTGGGATCATGACCTGAGCCGAAGGCAGACGCTTAACGACTGAGCCACCCAGGCGCCCCTTGTTAAGACTTTTAAAAGTTTTGTTTCTCTATCTGCCTTTTCACCTTCTATTAGAAATGGAAGAGCCTGGAGAAAGGCGAGTGAAGGGGGTCAGGACGGTCCTGTGTCTCAGCTAAGTTCACCCAGCTTGTCTTGTTCTCAAGCTTTGGGTTGCTCAGACTTTGATACCCTTTATTTTGTTATTTTTGAAGATTTATTTATTTTAGAGAGAGTACAGGAGTGTGGAGAGGGGCAGGGGGAGAGGGAGAGGGAGAAGCAGACTCTGCACTGAACACAGAGCCCAGTGTGGGGCTCGATCTCACAACCCTGAGATCCTGACTGAGCCAAAACCAAGAGTTGGACACTCAACCAACTGGGCCACCCAGGCGGCCCTGACACTTGGTGCACTCACAAAGCTCATTTAAAGGGTATCAAAGAGGTACTAACTCTACACACACCTATCGGACTGGCTCAGATAAAACAGTGACAGCACCAAATGCTGTCAAGGATGGGGATAAACTGGATCACTCATACCTTGCTGGTGGGAATGCTGTTTGGCAGATTTTTCTAGAACTAAATGTGGAACTACCCTGCAACCCAGCAAATGCACTTTTGGACATTTACCCTGAAGAAATAAAAACTTATTTTTACACAAAAAACTGTACACATATGTTCGTGTCGGTTTTGTTCATAGTAACAAAAAATTGGAAACCCATGTGTCCGTCAACAGCTGAATGTGAAACAAGCCGTGGGACATCCAGATGATGGCATCCTGCGCAGCAAGGAAAAGGAGCAAACTGTTAATACCATCAGCAACTTGGGTGAATCTCCAGGGAATTATGCTGAGTGAAAAAAGCCAACTCCAAAGGTTACATATAATTTTTGAAATAAAATTTTGGAAATGGGGAAGATATTAGTGGTTTCCAGAGGTGAAGGATGTGGGATGAAGGGGGTAGGAAGGAGGTAGTTATAAAAGGGCAGCCCAAGAGATCCTTATGGCATTGGAGCTGTTCATGGTCTTTACTGTGGTGCATCCTGAGCCTGTACATGTGATACAGTTGTATAGAACAAAACACACGCGTCAGTGCACACACAGACACACATGGACACAAATACACACACAGACACACACGGACACACACACACACACAGACACAAAAAGGAGTATAAGCAAAACTGGAGAAAGGTGGATAAGTGTGCTAGATTGTAGCAATGCCAATATCCTGGTTGTGATATACTGTGGTTTTGTAAAATATTACCATTGGAAAAAACTGTATAAAGTGTGCATGGGGATCCCTGTATGTTATTTCTTATAACTGCGTGTGCATCTATAACTATCTCAAAAATCTCAAAAACACTTATCAAATTAGAATTTAAATTTCTAAATTAGAAACAGCACAGCCTAGCATTAAATTGAGCTCATGTTTTATTTGTGCACTTGATCAACATGATTCTTTGTGCCTTCTTTTCAAGTGACCAATAATTCCCAGTCCTAATCATCACTTAAACGAATTTTTAAAACTTGAGCTTGACATGGATTATGTGTGTGATCAAAACTGTTTATCTGCCCAGATTGCCCTGAGAACTCAGCGGGTGAGGAGAGTCTTGTCCTTCTAGTGAGGAATCAGAGGTACTGTTTTGGAATAAAACATAACACATTTTATTTTATTTACTTTTTAAAAGATTTTATGTACTTAGAGAGGGAGTGAGTGGGAGGGAGAGAGAGAGAGAATCTGAAGCAGATTCCATGCCGAGCACAGAGCCTGATGCAGGGCTCGATCCCACAACTGTGAGATCACGACCTGAGCCAAAACCAAGAATCGGATGCTCAACCAACTGAGCCACCCAGGTACCCTATAACACATTTTATTTTTGAAAAGTTAAATAGTTCCTGGCATATTTGATGTCAGAGGCTTAATACCTGATTCTTAAGTATTTTCACTTAAGAGGTAGACAAAAGTTTGAAAAATATATAAGCACTTTTGGAGTAGAAATAGGTGGAACAGGGCTGTGTTAGGCCTTTGCATATGAAAATGGTCTTTGAAACACTTGGGAAAAGACCCCCTCCCCCCCTCAGAGAAGCGGACCATCCATGATGCTACTTGGGAAAAGCCCCCCTCCCCTCCCTCAGAGAAGCGGACCATCCACGATGTTACTTGCTGGTGGGCAGTGTTGCTCTTCAATTTCCAGCTGATTCTGCCAGTTCCAGACGCGTGTGGACGGATGGGGGCGTCCAGAGGACAAGGCGTGGATGGCTGATCTTGCTGTCAGGAGTTTAGTGGGGTTCTAATTTATATAACAGTTTTTTTTTTTTTTAAAGATTTTATTTATTTATTCGACAGAGACACAGTGAGAGAAGGAACACAAGCAGGGGGAGTGGGAGAGGGAGAAGCAGGCTCCCCGCAGAGTAGGGAGCCCGATGCGGGGCTCGATCCCAGGACCCTGGGATCATGACCTGAGCTGAAGGCAGACGCTTAATGACTGAGCCACCCAGGCGCCCCTATAACAATTTTTTAAATAAATGACTATTTTTGCCTATTTTATATCTTTTCCTTTACATCACCTGTCTGCCATGGAAGTGTGTGGTAGAGCTGCCTCTCCCCCCTGGGGAGAAGGAGCGTGTGATATGTGGGATACTGGAGAACGTGAAGGTGACATTAGAGCCTTTTTTGTGCCGTCTTGGAACGGTATTACTGCATGTTTGTCTGTCTGTCCTGTTGGGCAGGAGGAAGACAGTGGGGAATGAGAATTTGGGGCAGAGTTGTGTGCCTGGACGGTAGCTTTGGTGAACACAGTTAAATTCATCAGAGAATCTCGTTCAGCTTTTTCCAAATTGAAGCCCCTTAGTCTGTGGTTAAGTTCCCAAATGAAAGCCGAACAAATAGGCTTCTTCCACATCGATCAAATCATGCTTAATAAAAATGTGGCTGTGTGTATGTGTGTAGCCCATGGAAAAGGATCCCTGGTGGTAAATCCTGTAGATTGTGTTGGAAAAACCTTTTTTTTTTTTTTTCATTTGTTAAAACCAGCTCTTAAAATAGTCTTTGGCAACCTTGTTTCTTATAATTGGACTCTGGCCAGAGGTGAGTGTTTGGGGGAAAATTTGAAGCAAATTTATGGGACTGTTTTCTGTGGGCAGTAGGATGGAAAAATAGTAAAACTGAACTGCAGATCTCTCTGATTTTCTTGGAACTTAAAACTGGCTGACCTAGTCACTCATTTAAAATGCCCTCTCTTGGGCTGGAGTGTAGGTTTGGGAAAGGATTGTACTTCGACAATATTTTGGAAGAGTTAGCATCTAAAAATGGGATTTACAGTTCATGGTCCACATCTGTCTTTGCCTTAAAGATTTGTTCTTGTTTTCACAAGTAGACCTAAATTCAAGCATTCCCCACTTTTCAACTTGGTGTATTCCTGGAAACCATATTTTTAAGTGCACACCAAAAAGACTCATTACATTCCCCTATAGGAATAATAATGAGTATTTGTAGTGTCCTTACTATGTATGCAGATACTGTTGTAAGCATTTACTGTGCATTAACAATCCTCATAGCAAGTGCATGAAATAGATACTGTTATCCTAATTTTACGTATGAAAAAACTGAGGCACAGAGGGGTTAAGTCACTTGCCTGGGGCCACACAGCTAGTTAATGGGGACACCAGCATTTATTTTAGGCAGTTGGACTTCAAAGCTTGAGTAATTAAACCACTATAATATGTTGCCTCTCAAACAGTGTTAAAACTTATTGTGGTTTTTAAGTAAAGATTTACCATCCAGATATGACCAAGAATATATTGTAAAAGCAGAGGTATGTTTATTTATTTAGTTGTTCAATGCCAATAATTACAAAACTTGATAATTTGAATAATATTCTGATTCTCCTAAAATGGGAATGAATGTGTCCATCGGATTGATTATGCAAAGGCCTCAATATTGTATAAAGCAGGTAAAATATGCTTTTTCTGTGACATTGGTTTGACTGTTTGTAAACAGTATGCTAGTAACATACCGAGGTATTTTCATTTAAATCTCTGGTTTGGACTTTAGAAAGCCCTTTGTGGTTTGAATGGCCCAGTTGTCTCAACGAGACTCCTGAGAAATGTGCACCAATACTTTCTTTTACCTTCACTTCTGCAGGATAGTGTATGTAGGGGCCATTGTTACAGATTAGTAGTTTTTCCCAACTGTTCTCTGGCTTCCATAGGGTCTGCTGAAAAGTCAGCTAAGTATCTTGTTGGGGGGATCCAGTGGTCTGGGTGGCTTTGGCTGAAGGCAGGAAAGTGGCTCCTTGCTTCTGGGTGGATCTGATGGAGTTCTGGGGTTAATGGGGAAGGTCCCTCTGAATCCTGTTTGTCTGTGTTGCACTAAATCCCCAGGGCGGTGAGAATGGTTTGGTTAATGGATCACTAAGCATTCTGCTCTTATATGTAGAACATTAAGCAAATACCCATGAGCTCACTCTTTTCTCTTTTCCTCCCTGCCCCCTCCATCTTTCTCTCTCTCCCTGGATCCCTCCCTGTCTGCAGCACAGACCCTGGATCCTGGGGGCTTATGGAATATGGGCCTCCTGGTGTGTGCTGGGGGCCCACGGCACGGCCATTATTTTTCTCCACACCCTCATCTCCTTCTGTGTAGCGCAGTTCCAGTCGCTGGTCCTCACATGGCTCTGTTCTCTCCTCCTGCTCTCCACACTGAGGCTGCAAGATGTGGAGGAAGTTAAGGTAAGTGTCGCCGTTTAACCCTTGGGAAGGAGAAGCTGTCTTTGGCAGTGCTTCCGTTGGGTAGATGCCGTATGTTTCAGCCAAGAGTCAATTGAAGAACCATGGTGGGGGTCCCCCTAGTGGCCATGTGGGGTTGATACATGTGAATCCTGGTGTGATGCATTCTGCAGTCTTGTCTTGGATCTGACTATGTCTTAGCTCTCTAAGGTTGCCCAGGGTTGACCTTGTGCCTCTTTTCCCAGTTTGGTAGGCATGGGTGGTGCCAGATGTTGGAGAAACAGAGGGCAAGGAACAATGGGAAAAGAAAGCAATAGTCTTCTGTACATTTAATAAAAAGTCATCTGTAGAGTGCTCTACAATTTATAGGAAAATTTCACATTTCTTATCTCATCCAATGCCCATGATAGCCCCTGAGACAGATAAGGCAGGTGTTTTCCTTGCCCAGAAAATCTTAGGAAGTTTTGATATTCTTTCTTTAGTCATTGTGGAACTGAAATTCCTGTGGTATCTTTATTTTTGTTCACTTGTTCATTCACTCATTCATTGATTCAAATGACAGCACTTGGCAAGGTTGTGGAAAAGAACATGAAGGGAAAGATGAGTCAGTGGATGACCTGGTTCCCCTGCTTTTCTAGTAACTTGTCTTTCCTACTCTTGAGACTGGAGGCAGTCATTTAACCCGAGTCTCAATTTCATCATTTCGAAAATGAAAGTAATGGGTGCTCTGACTTCCTCATGGAGTTGTTCTGAGGCTCTTATAAGATGATATCTGTTAAGTGATTTTGTAAAAATTGTAGCCTTTTGAAAATTCAATTTTTTCTGTTATACTATCTTAATTTTTCTTCACTCTCACCAACAGATTGGGGCTAACATTAAGCACATGTGTTAAAATCCAGACTTAAGAAAGTAGGGTAACAGCTCCATCTTTTTTTTTTCTTTAAATTTTTTTATTATTGTTATGTTAATCACCATACAATACATCATTAGTTTTTGATGTAGTGTTCCATGATTCATTGTTTGTGCACAACACCCAGTGCTCCACGCAGAATGTGCCCTCTTTAATACCCATCACCAGGCTAACCCATCCCCCCAACCCCCTCCCCTCTAGAACCCTCAGTTTGTTTCTCAGAGTCCATCGTCTCTCATGGTTCGTCTCCCCCTCCGACTTACCCCCCTTCATTCTTCCCCTCCTGCTATCTTCTTCTTCTTCTGTTTTTTTTTCTTAACATATATTGCATTATTTGTTTCAGAAGTACAGATCCGTGATTCAACAGTCTTGCACAATTCACAGTGCTCACCATAGCACATACCCTCCCCAGTGTCCATCACCCAGCCACCCCATCCCTCCCCCCCACCACTCCAGCAACCCTCAGTTTGTTTCCTGAGATTAAGAATTCCTCATATCAGTGAGGTCATATGATACATGTCTTTCTCTGACTGACTTATTTCACTCAGCATAACACCCTCCAGTTCCATCCACATTGTTGCAAATGGCAAGATCTCATTCCTTTTGATGGCTGCATAATATTCCATTGTGTTTACATACCACATCTCCTTTATCCATTCATCTGTCGATGGACATCATGGCTCCTTCCACAGTTTGGCTATTGTGGACATTGCTGCTATAAACATTGGGATGCACGTACCCCTTCGGATCCCTACATTTGTATCTTTGTGGTAAATACCCAGTAGTGCAATTTCTGGATCGTATGGTAGCTCTATTTTCAACTTTTTGAGGAACCTCCATACTGTTTTCCAGAGTAACAGCTCCATCTTGACAAAAGACACTTCCCACAGTGATTAACTAGGTGATCATTTAAATACATGTGCTTAAAAATAGATCTGCAATACAAATAAAAAGGAGTTCATACCTAACTTTTTGGGGACCTGGCAAATGTACAAAACAAACTCCAGTGGTAATTATCATTTGTTTGGGGATAGTTAGTATCAGTTATGGATGTTGGTGGTGAATAAGGATTCCATTTATCATGCAGACTAGAGATTTGAAAAATGCTGCCCAATGGGAACAGATGACCAGAAACTAGTTGCTTTTGGTTTTCATGCTTTTGCACAAGTATTTCTCTTGGTCTTTCTTGGTGGCTGCTGAAGTCCCGGGCATGGAATAGAAACTCTTTTTTTTTTTTT